GTGTGTGTGTGAGAAATCATTGCCAAAAGCTTCCATGCACCATTTTTTTTGACACAGACGTAACTGGAGGAAACCACTGCTGATTCACAGACACTCTTCAGACATAAATTAAAGCCAATATAATTATAATTGGTACAGTGCTCACCCATATAACCATGGCAGCAAGTCATCAACAATATAAATAAAAGAAAAGCCACATGAAACTATTAAAATATACATATCTAGGTATATTTTTAGTCTGTCTCAAAAGGAAATAATAATGTTTTTGTTATATGTATAATATATACTGTAAGAAAAGTGATTATCCACTATGTGTAAAACTTAGACTTTTGATCATTAAAAAAGTAATATTTGATTAGAGCTAAGCATTGATCTAGAAAATATTGCTATCTTGAAGTATAATAGTGGACCCACTGACAAAAAATGAAGCATGAGTAAATACTATTTACATGCAAATACTGCTCAGGTTATAAACCTTTCCATAATATAATCAAAACAATTTGAGCCTGGGGACTGTAGCAACCTATAAACAATAACTGTCTATCAGTCATTTTTTCTTACCTTTCAGTAATTCCTTCAGTTTCTCTTTTCTCTCTTATCTTCCAAAACAAGAGACATATTTTCTTAATCATGTCTTTGTTTTAAACACACCGTATTTGTGGAAAAGGCCAGATGAGCTGTTTTTCATATAATCATTGGTAAATCCTGATTTTGGCATTTAGTTTCTGCTGCTTTTGTTCCTTTTTGGTGAAATACATCTTTGTGCTTTCTTTCTGATTTTTCTTGCTTCGTGTATGTTTTCAGAGAGGACATGATTTTTCTTATCTGTCATTTTTAAATCCAAAAGATACATTCTGGGATTTTCTTCCTTCATTACTTGTGCCTTCTTCTCCCCTCAAATTAATCATACCTTCCTCTTCCTTTAGAAAATTCCATCTTCCAGTGCTCTGCACATGTGGATAGTGAGGAGACATTTTCATTTTTATTTTATTTTCAGGTTGAAAGTTCCAGTTGGACAATAAATGCTCCCTTGCCATTCAGGAACTTAAGTAAATTATATATAGTTGTGCCATTTTTCTCTCAGTGCTGCACAGACTGGTTTACTAAAACCTCAGAACAAAATGCAAACTTTAAATTCTGAAGGCTCAAAGTATTTAGCCACATGCTTCTCACCCACCAAGTAAATTGGATATTCAGCAAATCATGATACATACCCTGTGTTATGGAAAAGAAACACAGTCTTCTGAATTTTCATCAAACAAATTAGTTCTACTTTCCATTTGAAATGAATGCAAAACATCTTGGAACAAAACTCTTCATTCACATTTATGTTTTCATCCATGACTAATCTGGAACTCTTTTTAAAACTTCCTTCAAGACATATATTTAAATAACTACAAATAACAAATATAAATGGATGACAAAAAACAGGACATGATTACTTCTTTACAGAAGCAGTTTACTACCTGCTTAGCAGGGAACCAAAATATATTCACTGTATCTGAATTAGTATACTGCTTTTTATGTAAAGCCTTTATTTCAAGCAGCAGAGATGGGGCTTCCCTTAAAGAAGCCTGTAATAGTTAATAAAATGTCTTTTTTTTTGGCTTTCTTCTTTTTCAGTTCTAATTCTAGCTTATAAAAATGTACAGTCAGAGATGCCAAAGAAGCAGACTCCAGATTAAGAAATTCCCACAAATCCTAATTCATCTTCTGTCTAAAATGGTCAAAAAAATTAAATCTTCAGTGACAAAATAGAATATATATTTGAATATCTTGAAATTGTAATGTCCTTTTCCATCTTGGCAACCAAAGTTGTCTTGCTCAATAACAGTATAAGCATTTCTAGCTTCTTCTGTATGCTGGAACAAGAAAATATACCAAGGATATAGAATCATAGGAAAACAAAAATAAAGTAAAAAACACATGCATAAAATATCACTAAGGTTTACATTGACTATGTATAATTTAAACTATACAGTTCATATAGTAAAATATTTGCATTAGATTCTGTTGAAATATGTTTAGTAGGTATTGTTCCATAGAATACTATTAATAAAATAGTTTCTGACAAGTATTTTCCATTATTTCCTTGTAAACATGATCTTACTCAGAGGAATGAATAGATCAGATTCAAACAGTAACTAGGGCACTGAGACGTTGTTCTTTATCAAGAAACATTCTCTTTGTAAAACATATGGTCCTGAATAAAGACATTTCTTGCAGTTGGAAAGTATGAAGGCATGAGAAGTGGCTCAGTGTACTCAAAACTCAGACTCATTTAGTCCTAACTTGATACTGAAAGTCTGCAATGGACTCATATTAATTAAGAACAATAAATAATGAATGGTTAAGGCAAGTGACATATGCCAGAATGCAATGTACTATCACAGAAAATATAAATAAACCAATTACTTTTCAATTTTCTAGCAGTTCACCTATTGTTTTTACATCTCCCTTATCTTTCCTTTCATAAGAAGGAACCTTAAACTGGAATTTACTTCATCCAAAACACGAGTGCCCTTTTCTTTCCCACAATGTTTCAAAGACTTTAGATATTTCTGTTATCAGCTGACTCCTTAGTGACCAAAAAACACTATAGAAGCACTCTGAATAGTGACAGGAGAGCACTGAAAGAAGCTTTAATAGATGTGGAGCAGAAACAGGAAATAATCATAAAACAGAATACTTACCTTCTGTATGTGGCTTGATAGACTATGACCAAAGAATGAAGGCTAAAGAGAAAAATAAAAACAAAAATAAAAACTGAAAAGGAAACGGGACGGGAGAGAAGGAAAAAATGGAAGAAGAGAAAGAAAGAGAAAAAGAATTTACAGTGTGTCAAGTGAGAAACAAGCCATGGCTATAGACAAGAGTAAGGCAAAACTGTCAGTTGAGAAGAGGGGAAATAAACAGTGATGTGTGAACTTCAGAAGGGGCAGAGGGTCAGTCTGAGTGCTCAACCATACATCCCGAGTCTGCAAAATTTCTCAGGAGTGCACGAGGCTTCCTAAATTACTGCATCTAGTGCCAGCTGGTACCATGAAAGGAAAAAGTTAATTGAATTCTTCTGAAAGTCCAAGAGAGTATCATTTAGGTTTGCTTTTATTTTGCATTGAAAGATCAAATGGCTTTTTACTGAATCCATTCTCTCACTCCTAGAAAGAAGTGTTTTTGTCTCTATTCAGTAGTGTAAATATGGTGGGTTGAGGGGTGTATCAGCCTGAAGAATCCACTTAGAGAAAGCACTGCTATTGCCTCCTCCTCCCAGGACTGTTTCCATGGCAGAGCAAGGCCTCTGCAGTCCAGCCACAGGGAGATGGGCAGGTGCAGGCCCCTGCCGCATAGAGTATCTGTGGGGGAGGGAGGGAGTGGAATGTGTCCCCCTTCCCGCATGAGAAGCACAGCTCTGCACCCAGAAGCATATCTAGGGTGGCGATGGGGAGTGAATGGGGCACTGGAAGCAGCTCCAGGGAGTCAACACTGATGGGGTTGCTCCACCAGTTTGCTGTGAGCCCATCTCTCTACTACAGCAGCCACGCTCATACTGCTCCAGAAACACCTGGAGCAGCTGTCTCCTGAGCACAGAGAGCAGAGACAGGTAAGAATCCACTCTTCTGCTCTCCAGTAGTTAGCATATTTCCTCCCCATATCACCCTCACCTCTACCCTAGGCACTGAAATAGCTTCTGTTGTTTGTTTTGTTTTCAGAGTAAAATTCTCCAATGGTCTTTTGAGAGACCTTCCATTTCTGGGATGTCCTGAAGTTCCCTGAGCTGAAGGGTGCACTGGAGTCAGAGATAAAGCAGCCACTATAAGGTCTCTGAATCCATTGTGTGGGGAAGCGAGCTTCATATTGACTCTAAATATCTTAGCACAAGAGGGATGCTGAGGGCAGGAAGAGGGCCTAGGACTCCCTACATAGGAGATATGGAGGGAAACACTACCGTTCCACCCATGCTGGACCATGGGTGGACAGGTCTGGGGGGGGAGGGGGGAGGG